GAGAGAGAGAGAGAGAGAGAGAGGTTGTACAAGTGATGGAGATACAGAGAATTCATTTTTCAATGTTTTAGTCATTTTAACTTCTCTCTTAGATTACTGCTCTCCTCCTTTCTTCTCCCTCGTTAGCTAGGGTTTCCGTTCCATCTCAATTGCTCATTTTAGCATGGTATCAGAGCTTTGAGCTCCGAATTGAAGCTCGCAAATCGACCCTCATCTTCTCCTCTATTCTATCTTCTTCTTTGTGTACTCGAGTCAATTGAGATCTTGATTTTCTGGTTCAAAAACTCTGAATTACTCAACAATGGCGATTGTTGATTTGAAATATGAAAACGCAACTGTCATAGCTGAAAACACATCGCATGCATCCTCCGATGCGCAGATAGTGTGGATGGATCTACATGAGCGCTTTGATAAGGTGAATGATACTCGTTGCTACAATTTGCACACGGAAATTGCTACCTTGAATCAAGCTACTTTTTTTTTATTTTTGTCTATTATTCAAAGCTCATGGACCTCTGGCATGAGTCTAAGTCTATAGTACCCACTATTGGCTGTGAATGTGTCAAGTCAAACGAATTTGTAGTGCACCTACGAAAATAAAAGTTGTACCACTTTCTAATGGGTTTTAATGACTCTTACTCACAAGCTCGTAGCAAAATCCTTATGATGAAGCCTCTACCTTCAGTGAATCAATCATATGCTATGCTCATGAGTGATGAAAGTCAAAGAGTTGTAGCTGCTTTTGCTGGAGTATTAGGACCTTCTCCCACTGTGAATGCACATCTTTATGACTCTACTGCACTATATAGTGCTAAGCCTAATTTCAACCCAAAATTTAGGAAGAATTATAACATTCAGTGTGAGTTTTGTAAGATGAAGGGCTGCAATAAGAAAATATGCTACAAAATAATAGGTTATTTACTAGATTATAAGTTAAAAAAGAAAGGGGAAGCTGGTGTTTACAATGCAATGGTAGAACCTGGGTACACTATGCATATGTACTCTAACCATGCCTCTCAGAACATACCAATGCATCTTATGCCTGTACACCAACAGACTATGGGTCAAGGTGATGAATATTCTCAGGCCCAAAGACATACTACCCCTCAGGTTCAAGCAGGCTCTTCCTCAACAAAAGCTCAGGGATCAGCAAGTACATCTTCCCATGCTCAAGGAGGTGCTTTCCCTTTTACCAAAGAACAAAATGATTAGATAATGCAAATCCTGAACAACAACTCAACTTTCTCTGCTCAGGCAAATATGGCAGGTACTAGAACTGCCCTTTTAGCATCTACTAGCCCACAAGAATGAATTATTGATACTGGGAAAACTAACTATATAGTGTCAGATGTTAACTTACTGACCAAGACCTCTCTAATTGCACCCTCTAAGCCTAGAAGAGTCTTATTACATAATGGATATGTCACTCAAGTAACTCACATTGGTGACAATCATATTTCACACAGAAACACTATTAAAAAGGTTTTCTATGTACCACAGTTCAAGTTCAACTTATTATCAGTCTCCAAAGTGACAAGAGATCTTAGATGTTTTGCCTCCTTTTGTCTTGATTTCTGTATATTTCAGGATCTCTTCAGTGGCGGGTGAGAGATATTGGTAAGGAAAGAGATTGTTTATACTTCCTATAGAGACATGGTGGCAAAAAGCTTATTGTAGTCTCTTTAGCTGTTGCTGAAATAAAGTCAAGACATCGTGACACTAATATTGATGTTGCCTTGTGGCATAAAAGATTAGGCCATGTATCCAATATAATTCTTAGAAAACTATTTTCTGCCAAACTAGCTAGTATTACTGATACTATCAATAAATGTAGTGTATGCCCATGTGCTAAGCAAACCGAGTTGCCATTACTTTCTAGCTATATTAAAACTACTGTTGCATTTGATCTAATACATCTTGATGTTTGGGGTCCATATAAATCTGTAGCTTTTGATGGTAATAAGTATTTTCTGACAGTTATTGATGATTTCACTAGGATGACTTGGTCATTTCTTCTGAAGCTCAAATTTGATGTGTGTGTTGTGCTTGCTCAACTTGTTGTATTTTTTCCAACTCAGTTTAACAAAACAATGAAAGCAATCAGGTCTGATAATGGTTCTGAGTTTGTCAACTCTACCCGTACCACCCTATTTAAGATATATAGCATCATCCATCAAACGACCTGTGCATATACCTCCCCCTTCCCCCCGCACAAAATGGAATTGCTGAGAGGAAGCACAAATATATTTTGGAAGTCACAAGAGCTTTAAGGTTTCAAGTCAATATTCCTATTAAGTACTGGGGTCATTGTGTGCTTGCAATAGTATACAACATCAATAGGATGCCATCTTCTGTTCTTCATGGTCTTTCTCATTTTGAATTTTTATATGATAGAGCACCTGCTCTGGTACATCTGAGAATCCTTGGTTGTTTGTGCTATGCTAAGAAAGTTCATGAAGTGGACAAACTTCTTCCCAGGGCTAAGCCTGTTGTTCTCATGGGTTTTTATGATACTCAGAAGGGTTATATTTTATTGGATCTTTCTTCTCACTGCTTTTTCATCAACAGGGATGTCTCCTTCAGGGATGACATCTTTCCTTTCAAAGATATTTCAGCACCAACACATCCTATTTACTTGCCTCCTGGGTCTTCCTCTTATAGTGAAGAGCAGTTTCCATCCTCTTCTACTCCTACTAGCACCATGCATTAGGTTGATAATTCAATGCATGAGGCTGATGACTCAAGGCATGAGTCTCCCCTGCAGCACATCCTGTATCACATGTGGTGCATTGTTCATTGCCTTCCCTTGACCAAAACTCCACTGTTCTGAGAAGGTCTTTAAGGACAAGGTAGGCTCCCATCTGGATGAAAGACTTTGTGTCACTGCCAGGGCACATGTCTGTTCATTATTCTATTGCCAATTATGTATCTTATGATGGAATATCACCTAAGTATCAGGCATATCTGGCTGCCTTTTGCACTATTCCGGAGCTTACAACCTTTGAAGAGGTTGTTCAAGATCCTAGGTGGGTAGATGCTATGCAGGATGAAATTGCTGCCTTGGAATCTAATCACACCTGGCATGTGGTCTCTTTACCTGAAGGCAAGGTGCCTATTGGCTGCAAGTGGATTTACAAGGTGAAGTACAAAGCTACAAGAGAGGTGGAAAAGTTTAAAGCTAGGCTTGTGGACAAAGGATACAGCCAACAGGAAGGCATTGATTATCAGGAGACATTTAACCCAGTGGTCACGATGGTTACTGTCAGAATAATCCTAGATGTTGTTGCCTCTGAGCATTATCACATTCATCAGATGGATGTGTACAATGCTTTTTTCAAGGGGACTTACATGATGAGATCTATATGACTCTACCATAAGAATTTCAGAGTCACGGGGAGGCTAGACCAGCATGCAGACTCTTGATATCCTTGTATGGACTCAAATAGACACTGCGACAGTGGAATGCCAAGCTATCCAAAGCACTACTGAGGTTTGGTTTCATGCAGAGTCGACATGATCACTCTTTGTTTATCAAAGGGTCAGGCAAGCACATCATAATCATTTTGGTGTATGTTGATGATATGCTCATCGCTGGACCTAATTTGACACTAATATCTGAGATTAAGACTAATCTTCAGCTGACATTCAAGATGAAAGACTTAACATAACTTAAATATTTTTTTGGTATTGAGTTTGCTAGGTCATAATAAGGCATTCTAATGTACCAGAGGAAATATGCACTAGAGCTAATTCTGAGCTTGGGCTTGGAGCTGCAAAACCTGCAGCAACACCTATTGAGGCCAACCTCATGTTAACCACCAAAGAATATGATGAGCACACTGGCAGTCCTAATGCAATAACTGATGATGAAGTCTTAACAGACATCAGCAAGTACCAAATACTATTAGGGAAGCTACTCTACTTGATTGTCACAAGACTAGATATAACTTTTAGTGTTCAGAAACTAAGCCAGTTAATGCAGAAACCAAAAAGGTCACATATGGAAGTTGCTCAAAGGATAGTCAGATATGTGAAGGGTCAGCCAGGACGAGGCATACTTCTATCTAGCAAACAGAGGAACTCCATCACAACATACTGGGCAGCCTGCCCTATTACTAGAAAGTCAGTGACATGCTTCTTCATCAAGTATGGTGACTCCTTGGTATCTTGGAAGTCAAAGAAACAAAGCACCATCTCTGGGAGCTCTACAGAATCAGAGTACAGAAGCATTGCATCAACTGTGGCTGGATTGGTTTGGATACTTGGTCTGTTCAAGGATATTGGTATAGCAATTGATCTTCCTGTGAACATCTACATTGACAATAAAGAAGCAATTCAAATAGCTGCTAACCTAGTATTTCACGAACGAACTAAACATATCGACATAGACTCTCATTTTATAAGAGAAAAGATACAGAATGGTTTGGTGCAAACAGAATATGTAGCAACTAAGGAGCATCTAGTAGATATTCTAACCAAAGGTCTACCTTGAGTGCAACATGAGTATTTGATGTCCAAGCTAAGGGTACTTTATGTCTTCATACCACCTAGCTTGAGGGGAGTGGTTAGATAAAGGGAGTAACCTGAGTGCAAGGGTAGTTTAGTCTATTCATGTGTTACCAGATTAGTTAGTTAGTTAGTAGCTAATGAAGTGATTGATTGGTTAGTTAGGTGGTTATATTTGTTGGTAAGACGGGTATATATATAGGTTGTACAAGTGATGGAAATACAGAGAATTCATTTTTCGTTGTTTCAGTTATTTTAGCTTCTCTCTCAGATAACTACTCTTCTCCTCTCTTCTCCCTCGTTAGCTAGGGTTTCTGCTCCATCTCAATTTCTCATTTCAGCAGTAAATCGATAACCGAACCGATAAAGATCGATAACCGATTAACCGATATGTGATAACTGATATTTTATCGGTTAGGCTATCGGTTTGGCATATTTATAAACTGATAACCGATATGCTAAACCGATAATATTCACAACCGAACCAAACCGACCGATACCCCTAACTTCAACATACCATGTATAGGTAAGACAATACGTCAAAGAACAGTTTTTTGACAGTGTAGTAAAACATTATTTTGCTAATCAAGGAGCAATGCGTGAAATCTGAAATGCGCACACTAATTAAGCTTCTACCCCCGAATAAGTAATCATTTTAATCTAATTAAGCATAAAATAACGCGTAAATTTATATGAATTCATACACCAACGGATTAAAAAAATTTAAAACTAAGTCAAAAGCACTGTGTTCCTCTTGCTCTTCCCCGAATCAAGGAATTGATTACTGCACCCTCCGTTCACTTTTACTTGGCACGTTTTGACTTTTCACGTCCTTTAAGAAATAATAAATGAAGTGCATAATTTACCATGATACCCATATTAATTGATGCATATTTTATTGGAATTGAGAAAATGATTTGAAATGAGTAATAAATATTGTGGGTATAACAAAGAAAAAAAATTTGTCTTCTCTTATTATGCGTAAAGTGACAAGTAAAAAAGAAAATATATTCGGTGAACGGAGGGAATAGATTGAAAAGGTTAAAGTCAAAATCTAGCACCCAATTAGTCAAAAGTCAAAGCACGAGAACTAAGAGAGCAATATTTACTTCTATGAAAAACCATTTCCAAGAATATGCATGGATCCAAAGGCAGGTTTTCTTTTTCTCTTTTTTTTTTTTTTTCCTTTTCTCTTTTTGTTTCCAAAATCGTCTATCCAAATGCAGAAATCTTGAGGCACACTTATGAGCATATATTGGCTTGTCAAAAGTATGATGGGATTATTGATTGCTACTAGACTCGGTTATGGTCGCTTTTAAATGGAATTTTCTTTTCAAGATCCCTAATAACCTAGCTAATGCTGGTAATTATGGAATTCGAGGATGCAAAAGTTCTGATTTCTCATTTTTGTTTAATATGCTTTTGCTTCGATATGAACCTATTAGGCTCTAGCTAGCCAAGTCAAAAAATTTGTCAACGTAGGTACAGAGATTCAGCAACTAATTTGACTGCTTTTAAACTTGTCCTAAAACATCAGGTAACATGCACCTGAGAGTAGTTGCATTGTTTCAGTGTTAATGTAGTTGAATAATTATTTTAAGTTAAGTAGACTAGCTAGACCTCCGACAACAAATACTCCTAAGTCTTAATTGTAGTAAGCTTGATATGGTAATTCGAAAATTGAATAATAAGCTTAATATGGTAACTTAAATTCAATTATTGAATACAAATGATACAAGCATGAACAGACACTTGAGCCTGAAAATGATTAAATTCGAGGTTTCGTATATAGTAGGTGAAATGATACCTTATATCCGCTATAGTAATTAAAATTCTAAATTCGTATGTGTGCAAGATGCATGAGCATGCAGCAGGTGAAAGCTCACAAATCGTAGGTCTCAAGTTCATTTAGGAAGAGGGAGAACTAGTTTAAAGCCTGTTGACCAGGATCATTGTCGTAAGTTTTATGGAAATAATACTTTCCCTATGCGCACGGCACAGACAGAAGGTACAACTTTCTCCTCAATCTTCTCCTCTTCTCCTTTTTTATTTCTTCTCACACATAATTGTAAGTAAAGAAGACACCACTGTATATATACACTTAATACTGTGAGCATATTACAGGTGGTAGTTGAGTGCTTCCAAATTCCAAAGCATGTTCTCTTTACCCACACTGGCGTGCTCAGGGCTATTTCCAGAAGGGCCATGTCTTGCAGACTATTTCAATTATTTGAATGTCGTCGATTTAGCTAGCGTTTGGAAATAAATTTGGTTGAAACTTAAAAAAAAAAAATTTGAAAGTTAAAATTGTATTTGGACATGCATTTTACTTGAAAAAATATTAAAGTTGTGCGAGTGAAAGATTTGTTTTTACCCCAAACTAGTTTTTGAAACTTGAAAAAAAAAAATTCAAAATTGATCAAATTCCATGAACAAATAATATTTTCATTTTTTTTTAATTAGTAGCCAAAATCTATATTCAAATGGAAGCTTAAGTTAGGAATATCCAATTTGGAGGGTGGATCTAGGATAAGAGTGAGTTCATAAGTTCTAACTAGCTTGAAGAGCAAATGCCAATGCATCTAATCAGGGGCGTGCCACATTGCGGGCTCAAGGATGGTCAGAGACCACCATTTTTCATAAATTATACTGCATGTGTTAAAATATTAGTACGTTTTATACGTATATATAAATTTTTGAACATTCTCAGTGAAAGTCCTAACTTGCATTGTATCAAATTGCACTCTTGATGCATTGGATTAGTTTTTAATTTTATTTTTAATATATGCGAGTAGTTAGTTCTAGTGGATTTTCTCACACATATACATAATTCTTATAAACTAAGGTCCAACCTTCATCGTTGTTTTTGGGTGGTAACATTTGAAATCAGGAGAGGGTTTCAACTTCAATATCATTTTCTTTTATGATTCAAACAACTTTTTCTCTGGGATCATTTGAAATGAATTTGGAATAAGGGTATGCTCTCCTACATGTTGAGAGACTAGAAACAAAGTGTGACATGTTTACTAGATTAATATATTACTCCTAGTATATGGTTGAAAAGTTAATTTAATAGATAAAATATCACATCAAATATTACATTTAAAATATTTTAATGAAATTAAATTCTTAAAAGTTTTGAAAATAAATAAACATGGATATCGTCATACATTTTTGAAACATCTCAAAATGAAAAGAGTATGATTAATTCAAATAAACCTACTGTATATATCTCAATTTCTTTTTTCGACATACTTCCATATACAGAACAAAGGATTTAAATTTATGAGTTTGAAATACGCACAGTCAAATGCTTCCATCCAAATGAGTTCTATCATTATCTTAAGCCCAAGCATGTCGGTGTGAAGTTCGAGTTTGACTACAGCAATGTGTTCAATAATTACACAATTAGCACTTCTAACACAGCAGAAATAAGTGGTACCTTTATAGTAGATCCGTAACTTCAGGGGTTTACATAGGTCGGATTGGTTCGAATTTTTTAATTATCAAACCAAATTAATGGTGTCGGGTTTTTAAATTATAAACCAAACCAACAAAGTCGGGTTTTTCAATCTCGTTTTTTCTCGGATTTTTCGGATTTTTGGGTTTTTTTCCGGTAAAGTCTTCATAGCATAAAATATGTAACTTGTGCTCCAAATATTTCTTAAGTTCTAGTAAAATACAACTATATAATGTGTTTTTCAAACTAACACAATAATATGAGATAAGTCATAGTATTATACTAAAATATTCAATAACAAAGATAAAATAATAAAATTACATAAAATAAATATTGCTAATTAATAAGCCATAATAAAAATTAACATAATCTAAAAATACTATATAGGTCATGCTAAAAT